AAGTTGTTTAAACAGAAATTAAAATTCTGATTTACAGAAAACATAAAACAACAGCCAAGACTGAGCAAAACTTATGTGTTAGCAGAGCTAGCACCACCTATCTTGCACCTATCTTGCACGTACAGGTTAATGCCCACATGTCTCTAATGCTAACATTTCATCACTCAAAACACAAGCTGCTGTACTCGCTGTTGGCTGACATCTGTGCATGTGTGTGCATCAGGGTAGTACAGCAGTGTATAGTAGGAGTCATTACCAATGTGTATAATGGAGCGCCATTCACATTCCTGGTATCAGATTTCCAAAGTGAAGGTAACATTCATCCTGACATCTGTTTACAAGCACATTTCCAATAACGTCTATAGCGGTTCATTTCAGAGTATTCAGGTTAGTCTGTTCCTGCTTCGTCAAGACCTTCATTCACACCTTAATCATCAGGAAAAGGGCAAACGGTCATAAACACAAGTCTGATCTGAGCAGTGATTCTGCAGCGAGGACTTAAAAGGGACCTTGAGCTTAACGTGCATAACACGCTTTCCGCCTTTAATCCAAATCAGGACATTTCCACAAAGGCAGTTTTGTTGAGGCTGCTGTATTTCTTGGGTCACAGAATATGATGGTAGATAAAAGAAGGAGCATTTCTCAGAGCACAGCACTGCATTGATGTCTCACTGCCTGCTATGCAAAGCAGAAACTCCCTCAGACCATTTCTTCCATTAATTTGTTAAAAAGAGTGACATTCGTCGCCACAGAGTTGAACCCAAAAGCAACAATTTCTCATATTTTTCCACAAGAAACAAAACAAGGTCGTTTTTTTGTATCACAGCGTCAAGTTTTTCTCCCTTTTCATCTTTTAGGCGATTTTATCCATGGTCACAAACGCTAATTAAAACAGCCAAAGATCAGAGGAACAACTTGAGCTGCATTCACATTAAGAACAGCTTTGTCCCTTTAATGGCACCACTGCATTCCCTCACCATGACAGGATGTATTATACTGTTTCATCTCCAGCAGAGTTTGGGTTGCTCTCTATGTAATTATGTCTTTTTTTATGATATCCACATCACTGCCATCATCTGCATGATACACAGAGTCCCCCTGGGTGGTCTGTGTCACACTGGCCTTAATGATTGTACAGCACCAGCAGGTTTATGAGGCTTTTAGTGTAAAAACAAATTCACAAAAAAGAAAGTCGAAAATTGATGACTGACTGGACGGAATAACTTTGTTTGCAGATGAAATTTAGGCTCAGGTAAAAAGAAAGTTCAAACAATCGCTCAGCTATCTTACCTTATTGACACCATCAAGCCTAATGCTTTCTTAAGAAACTCAAGAACTGATAGTTTTTCATATTATGCAGCCTTGTCTACCCACATAGCTTGAACTGAAGATGATAAAATAATAGTTGACTAGGTTTTCTCTTAATGCAGAGCATGCACTAACTCATAAAAGATAAATACATATGCAGAAAATTAGCAGAAGTTGGTGAGCTACCATTGCTGTGGTGGTGTAATTTTCTACTTTTATAGTAACTTTCTATCGAACTGAATGATGTAACTGATATTTAGAGGACTTAAGTGAAGTTTCTGGTGATTTTAGCAGCCTTGACAAACTTTTGTCACAGTTGAGTCTTTGTAAGAGGGTTGAGAATATAGTTTTGTTGTTTTTTTCCCCTTTTCTTGTGACTTGTTAGCCTGTTGTTGCCAGACCCGTCCACCAGCTTATACTCATTTTCACCAGCAGATGGGTCTGGAAGTGCTTACCCCTCAGTGTCAGGTTTCTATACCGACCCAATCACAGTCTTTTATTTAAAAATCAGTTGGGTTTTATGGGATGACGACATATCGACTGATTTGATTGATTATAGGCTCTTACTTTGAATTCAAGAGGCTCTTTTATTTGGGACTGTTGCTCATTTTAAAATTTCCTTGATTTTCATGGTGTGATTTGTGATCAAGCTGTTGTTGTAACATTTGTCTATCAGGTAAAATCTAAATAATGTAAAGATAGCCTGATCCAGATCATTTACACAGTTGCTGTAATGTCCTCCATCAAACTATCTGATATCACAGCCAACAGGCAGCAGCAGCAGCAGCACACTGAGTTGCCACAGCAGTGATGCGACAATGTAAAATGATGCCGAACACAAACAGCTCGATGGATTTGTCTGTAGGCTCAGAAATTTCATGTGTGCCATTTTTTCCTCATCCTTGTGTTTAAAAGTGACCCAGACTCTTTATTGCTGGGATCTCAGGGCCTGGTCCACCTCCCCCTCCCCGCCTAAGGCGAGAAGGGGCCCCAGCATGGAGAGAGATCTCAGACCTTCACGCTGAGTGGAACCAGACTTTGGGTTTTGTTGGAAAGGAGCTGAAGTGGAGAAGGGGGAGTGAATAAAGAGTGGCAGGCCTTGCCCTTGGAGCCCCAACACTGACGCACACAGATGGAAAGCATTAGATCTCCATTCCAGCTCAAAGCTGGACAGATTATTAGACAGAGTCAGAGTGGAGTGGGATGAGGAGAGAAGGAGGAGGAGAGAGGAGGGAAGAAGTGTGGGGGAGAAACTGAGAGGAGAGGGGACCAGTGACAGGAGAATACATAATACATACACACCACCAGTTTTCATCTCTACTTGTCAGAAAGTGCAGCTTGGCCAAAGGCTCAGCTTATCAAAATATAATGCTCTGGTACCCCTGTGTTATCATTTAAGGTAAATAAGATAAGGCAGCAAACGTCATTGAAAGTAACGTAGAAGAAAAACAATAAGTGTTAGCTCAGTTTGGCAATCAAGGAGTAACGGATGTCAAACAAATACAGGTCCTTTACCTAATAAAGTAACCCCCAAACTGAACCAAACTGCTTCAGTTTCACCAATCTAACCATGGATTAATGACTTCTTATTTTTTAATGTGGATTATTCTTTAACAGAGAGCCCTGTATGTGCCAAACTGGTGCTAGAAAATCACATTATAAAGCTCAGGGGGTGTTGGATGCACAAATGCATTAATAGTGTATACATTTGATATATGTATGCAACAGCTTTACTTAAATATCAGGATTAATGTTGAGTTGATATTCATAAGATAATACATTAACATACATGGCTCCTAGAGGATGAGCTGGAATGAATTTACTGATCGTGCTTTTGGCTCCATTATGAGGTTGCCATAGATTGGTTTAAGTGGTTTTAAATTACCATGAAATTCAGAACACATCCATTTTTCCAACACTATCAGCATCATTTGTCAACCTCAACATGTCCAAACTTTGGTTTATGACAAATAACCTTCAAGACATTTCAGCTGGTTTTCAATCAAGTTCATCTTCATGTTCGGCACATCTGTTCTCATGATTGAGGAGAATCAAGGTTGTGACAAAGCCCCAAACGATAACGGTTAGTGTTGAGGAATGAAGCAGATGAGGAAGTGTGAAAAACTGCAGTTCCCGGAGTGTCCACTTGAGGCTGGCTGCAAAAACACAGCAGACCACACACACATCCATACAAAAAGTTCATCTTTACAGCAAAAATCAACATGTTAACAGCCTAGTTAAAAAAGAAGTCTAATTTTCTTGTGGACAAACACCGTACAGTGTTTATTATTTTTTTTTTTACAACTCATTAGTTTTAAAGATATTAAGGTTACTGACTGACTGTCTTGACTGAAAGGTGGTAACACTGTAGTTGTCTGTTAGGGTCCTCAGATCCTCAGCTCCATCTATTTACCTCTTATTCAGTTAATCCAAAGTCAGGTTGAGTCCAATACGGTGACCGCCAACTAAAGGTTTTAAAACACCACTTCAGATACCAATGGGTGACGTACCTGAAATTTATCAAGAACTGATTCCAAACTTGAACTTGTTAAATTTTTCCTTACGTCCTTGTTGTTGTTGTTGTTGTTGTTGTTGTTGATGTTTACAGCTATTTAGCAGACAAAGACAACATGCAAAGTCAATTACCATGATAAATCATATTTGCAAATAGCATTGTCTACATGAGTACAGAAGCATGTTGCAACCAGCGTTTTCAGCAGTTTAAGACATATTTTCTTTTTTCAGCAGTTAGTTGGCACAAAATACAATTCAAAGAAGGCACTATTTTACATTTAGAATCCAAAATGGCATTAATTAAATACTCCTAATTGTAGGAAATATATGTGTTTTCTAAAAGGAGATTGTTGTTTCTGTCACCTCCAAGTAGTGTAAGAAATCTGTGATTTCAGATTAAGGTTGACAAGGACATGCAGAGGACGTGGTTGTAAAGGGAGGATTTCCTTTGAAATTTACATCGAGCCAGTCTGAGCTGAACTGTATAATAAAATCTTCCAAACTGCAGCTACAGCATATGTGAGCACCAGGCTGAGAAAATGCAGAGGTGTTTGTTTTTCAATAATCTTGTAGAGAAATAAATGCACACATCAGTCTTTGTGTACCTGCACCATTTATAGTACCCGCTGTAGGCTATTTATGTCCTTAATCCCCGAGCTATTTATACACTACACTCAGTACATAAATACACACATTCATTTTACCTCTGAATGCACCATGTCTCAAGATATCTATCTCTTAACCCCAAACAGATGTACGCCTACACAGACTGGAGTGCAGCATTTAACGCACGCCCATTTTAATCTACACGGTCTCTTAAGTCATTTAAATCTCATTAAGCTCCATTAAATGAGGAAACTTTAGAGTTTGTGACTAAAACAAAGAACTCACTGACTCAAAAAAGATCAGTTTAGTATAATTAAACGGGAACTGATGTGGTTATTATTGTGATGCTTGAATAAACATTTTAAATAGATTGAATTATTGTTATTTAAAGTTAAGACTTGAGATTTTTCTACTTACCTCAATATGAACTGCTGTATTGCATAGTGTCTTATACTTTAACAAAAAGTCATGAACGTTACGCAGTGTTTCCTCAAGTTTTAAATGCATTTTTATTTGTGTAAGTTTGCTTCTTCTTTTTATGAATTGGTATTTTCATTTAAAAATATCAGTAAATTGGAACAATTTACAGACTTACCCAAACTCACTGATGTTCGTGGATAATCCACAAAATGCCAAATATCTACAGGTAATATTAATCCCATGCAAATAAGGCTTAAACGGCTTATGTACTTGAATAAATCTACTGCTATTTATGGAAAGCAGGCAGCTTTAATACAGCTGAGTCAAAGTCAGAAGTCCACACTCAAAGGTTAAATCCGTCTAGGTTTAAGGCACATCCAGGCACATCCTGCAGGCTCAGGAAAACCTTTGTTTCTACGTTACAGGAACTATTATTCAGAGCAAAAAGAAAGGTTAGCAGTTTAGATAAGAACCAGTGACAAGACATCCTTTTACACTGGTGGTTTTGTAGATACATAAAGCTTGATAGGTGAGCATAAAAAGGTCTTAGTTTATTTAGAAAGAACAAAACCAAAAGGAGATTGTTTCGAAATGAGAAATTTGAGCGGGATTCTATTTTACATTACGTTGAAAAAGCAAAATCAATTCCAGTTCAGAGTTGTCCATGATTGAGTTAAGCTTTGGTTCACTTGGGTAGAAAACAGTCAGCAAAAGAAGGACCGGTACATCCTTGGGTGTCACAGCTTGTTTGCTTAACCTGTTCAAAAAAAGACTCAAACAGACCAACTAAATCCCACTGTTTTTGATATTAATGCTGGAATAAGTTATCTGCTTAATAACTCTGACTTTACAACTCAGCAGAAAAAGATTTGCACCCTAACAGGCTGACCTGATCTTTGAGCTTCATCTGTGAAATCCGTCATGTGATCTCAGACATGTGAGGCATGAATAGAGACAAGGAATGTGGATCCAACTAACTCTCTATTGTTCTCTTGGCTTCTGTCTAACTTTGCTGCCATACGAGTATCTGTTTGACAAAGAGGAGGACTGTAAATGTTTAAAACAGCTGAATGCTCTGGACCTGAACAATGAGTCTCAGCTGTCAAAGACACAGTAAGCACAAGGCCCATTTCAGCACATCGGCAGATAATGTTACGAACAGGAAGTTTAGAAGTCACCATTATGTGGCCTTGTGCGATTGTTTTGATTTTTGACATGCTTGTGGCAAAGCAATGACAACTGGGTGGACTGCTTTGAAATTTGGACCGAGCTGCAGCTTCTGGTGTTGAAAAAAAAACCTCTGCAGTTCCTTGAGCGTCCACTTAAATGGATCTTCAAAAGCACCAAACTCTCTTTACACCCATATTAAAACGTCCATGTTTATAGCTGAAATGAACATGTACAGCCCACTTTGAAAATTGCTTTGGTCTCCCTTAGTAGTCGTCAGTAGACTGACAAGTATCCAAAAGTGAGACTGAGTCAGCATTTCCAATACAGTGAGCACCATTGTTGGTTTCAGAACCTTTTCTCCAGAAACAAATGGGCCATGTCAATGAGACTATGTTCATGTTTTCAGGGCTAATACTCCTGACTCATAGCCTCTTCTGTATTGTCTTCAAGTGTTACGATCAGTTAAAGATTGAGATTTTCCAGAGCAGTGGTTAATAACTAAATACATTCAGAACTGAGTAAATTCCCATCTGCCATAGTGCTTTGAATCTCCTTAAAACACAACCAACAAATGTGTCCCACTTTCCCCAGGCCATGAAGGCTGCACCAGGTCAATCCTTCTTGGCCCACCATACCTCATGCACCAAAGCAGAAACATTGAAATTCACTGTTATCTTTCAAATGTTGGTGATGATGTTCAAGACGTGCGATGCTGGCAATTCTGGCTAGTTAGTGGAGAAAACCACCTGTTGCAACATGACACCAGTGTAACGGTGGGAAAGACTGGTGAGCATGTAACCCTCCATAGACCATCCCAGTTCAGTTTGACCTGCTAGTTCTACATAGGTCACATAACTTCAGCTCCTGGACTGGAAAGCAGCTATTGAGTAACATTTACAACCTATCCAAGATGGTGGACCAATCAGAGTCCAGCACTAGGATAAAAGTGTCTTTATACCAATTGGATGAATACAGTAACAGTTCAGACGTGGAAATGAACACGCTGAGAATGGAGAAGTTTCACATGAGGAAAACAGCATTTAGGTCATCATCTCTGCCCATTCAATTTCAGTGAGTTTTCAAGAACTTTACCAGCTGTGTTTACACATCAACTCACCCCAGTTTCTTTAAGTTGTACGTAGAGGTTAGCAGGAAAAGTCTGGATAGAATCAGGATGAAATATGTGTCTAATTGCGTTCCCCAAAAAAGGAAGACAGAAAGAAGGGACAAAGAGATGAGATAAAAGAAAGACTGGGAAAGAAAAAATGGACAAAGCAGGAAGATAGGAGGAAGGAAGAACGGACAAAGACAGAAAATGTCTGGAAGACCGATGGAAAGAAGAAGAAACAAAGACAGGTGAAAGAAGAAGGAAGGGGAAAGATAGAGGGAACAAGGAAGGAAGAAAAAAAGGAAAAAGAAAGCGGTAAGATGGAAGCAGAGCCAGCCCAAGTCTCAATGGTGCCCTAAGCAAAATTAGGTTTTTGGGTCCTCTATTTCTGCCAATAATATTGATTGTTGATCATTCACACGCCTTCACAAATCTCTTTGATTAACATTCCATGACATGCAAACATACCTTTATCTTGGCGTTTTTTCTCTTCTTCCTCTTTCTTCCTCTTTCTTTTCTCTGCTCCTGAAGGATATGTCCTTTTTTTGCGACATTGTTTTGCCCCACAACTACCTGCATTTAAAATGCTCAGTGTACATTGCACAGCAAGAGGCACATAACAGTAGTGGAGCAGTAAGAATCATAGGCCTACATCAGCAGCAGCACTAAAATGTTTTTACTTTATTTTATTTTATGATAATATATATTTGATCATGTAGAAAGCATCACTCATACATGCAGTAAATAAAAAATATTTACAAATTCTTTTTTTGATTGCTCTGGGGGGCCTCCCAATTGACCGCGGGGCCCCAAGCAGGCGCTTAGTTCGCCTATGCCTTGAGCCGGCTCTGGATGGAAGAGACAAACATGGAAGAAAAGAAGATAGATGGATGATAGAAGGAAGACAGATCGAAGAAAGAATGGATGGAGTAGGAAGAAAGAGGAAACAACAAAAGAAGAAATTAAGGATAAAGCAGGAAAGTTGACATGCTCTAAATTAAGTCAACATTATTATTACAGCCTCAGCTCTAAGCCGTACAGGGACTTCGTTATTTCAGTTGATCCTTAGTTTTGCTTAAAAACAAAACAGAAGATTAGTGACCCTTGGGTAAAGAACATATCCAACGTTTAATTTGTTTCTGTGAGATAAAAAAAGAACATCGTGGCCATGATTATTTTTTATGATCTATTTTTAACACTGTTGGTTTTAAGTGGGGTTCGAAAAGTTTCTGTGGGAGAGTGACCGCCTTCCTGCGTAATCTCTGAGAGCTCTTTAAACAAAAGATATTTAAGATACCAGCAGCCTGCTTTACTCATAAATTTCAAATAAACTAACACATGCTGAGAACAAAAACACAAAATTAAGTATGTTTCCCTGAGGAGATGTATAACGATGAAGCAGAGAGATAACTTTGTAGTCCACATGACCTATCCACGTTTAGTCAGGGCCCCCCGGGGGAAATTAAACAAGGCAGTGATAGTTCACTTGACTGCTTTCAAAGGCTTCTCTTTACTTCCTCTCTCCAAGGTCATTATGTAGCAGCACGGACAGCGCAGGTCAAGCGCCTGTCAGCCCCTCAACAAAAACAGCTCATGTTCCCCAACAATCGAGGGCTTGTTGGAGGTTTCCAGCGAGGCCACAGACAGAGTGAGAGGACAGTGAAACTGAATCTTTCTGCCTGTCTTTCCTTCCCTCAACACATGTCTGTGTCCCTGCCTTCCAGTCATACCAAAGTCTGAAGTTTACACTCAAACTTGTACTCAGAAATAATAAGGAATTTATAGCTGTTTTACAAAGATCTTTACTTGTTTTTTTCATATCTGAAAAAACAAACTGAAATTCCTATGGATTAATAAATATCTCATTCATTATAAAGCCTACTGGCCTTGACCATAACTGTCTTCTTAAAAATTAAATATTGATACGGTGCTGAAGTGAGTAAAGTCTATTCTGACATTTCTTTAAATGTATGGGTGCATGTCCACTTAGAGCTACAGCCATACTGTGAAAATCAAAGTACTTTTATATCAAGTTTTCAGCACAGGTGTAAAACAGTTTTAAATTTTGATTTTTTTAGTGGTTAGTCGTCGATTCAGGATTCATTTTAAGATTTTATTGTTTGTTTTAAAATCTTTAAATGGAGAAGCACCCAAATACATTTCTGACCTCCTGCAACGCTATACTCCCACAAGGTCTCTGAGTTGGTGGTCCCTAAGACCAGACTAAGAACCAGGAGTGGCCGTGCCTTCTCTGCAGTGGTCCCCAATTTATGGAACAAGCCCCCCCACACACACACTTTATGTTAGATTATCTCCAACTTTAACGGTTTTTAAATCCCGCCTGAAAACTTATTTTTACTTCTTGGCTTTTAACCCAGCATGAGAGTTGTGTGATCTGCCTCTGTCTGTTCTTTTATTTGTTTTTTTTTTATTTGCTCTTACAGTGTTTTTATTTTATTTTACTTCTTCATTGTTTAATTTTAAAGTGTTTTATGTGGTTTTTATTGTGATTCTTTTATTCTAACGTTTCATGTTTCTGTGTGTTTTTAACTTATCTTATAAACTTAATTGTTTTTTAAAATGTGTGAACTGTATTTCTTTTCTGTACGTTTAGGCCCAACATTCATGTTCCCCCATCCATTCAGTGCACTTTACCTGTATCCCTGTATCTTCTTCACCCTTTGTTAATTTATCCTCCTTTTTTACAGCCAAATGTATACTTCTCTTCTCTTCTCTTCTTCGCCCCGTCCTTTATTTTCAAAGCCCATTACAGCCCATTACATTCTGAACTCAAGGGGCTTAACAAGGATCCTTTAGCAGAGAGCGCCCTCGGGGCTCCAGAGGGAGTGGTCGTCCTCAGTTACACCGTCTGGTCGCAGGAAGTAACCCCTCTGGCATTGAACCAAAGGGATTCGAACAGAAGGACAGGACACACCCATCCCTGGTACAATTTTTGAGTATATTGCTGAGTTTATTTTGCTTTAACTCCTCCTGTTATTCCTCCACATCAACCTCTACTACAACTTTTTTTGTACTTGCATGGGGCAAAGCAGGGACAACATTCAAACCAGAAATACTTTGGTATACAGAGGGGAGTTTTGTCATACCTTTACACACACTATAGCAGAAAGAACTGAAACATATAGATATGTAGCAACAAAGTGCATGGTATTCTGCAGATAAAGCTGTGTTGTGTTGTGTTGATAAGTCAAAGTGAAGCAGGCCTAGTGAAAAACAAACTTTCTACATGGCTAGAAATAGTACTCAGTGTCAGGGGTGAGTTTTTCTCATGAAGACAAACAACACAAAGAGTTGTAGTAAGCACAAGGGGGACACAAACCAGACTCATTTTTCCCATTTTTAGCCAAATTCTGGCTCCACAGATATCATTTCCAGCTGTTTGAAGGTCATCCCTATGTTCCTCAAAATGCTTAAGGGCTCCACCACCTGGTGAACAGCAGCTATTACACCCCAGACAGAGAAATTCTACTAAACACGCTGATATGGTGACACCTGGCGGATTCTGACTGTCATTACAGGTTAAGTTGCCTTTCTTGGTTGTTACCTTTCGTCTCTTATAATTTTTCTTATTATTGCTATTTTGTGAAGCATTTTGTGACTCTGCTCTGTGAAAGGTGCTGTATCAACTTTACTTAATTTACTTTGTGCAAGTCTTATTTTTCAACATTTTCCCCAGACTTTATGCAGAGAGGTGCGAGTGCTTGAGTCCAGTCATGCACCTTATTTTGGTTTCTCCGATGTTCTCTGATAGGTACAATTTACCTTCTATCTCTGTGATGTAGTGATCCAAATGTTAGATGTCAACCCAAAAGCAGCAGGTATTTTATCCAAGATTAGATATCTGGGGAAAACATTTATTCTTTGGCTTTCCATAAAAGTTTTAAACTGTGTCCCTGCAATGTGCAGTTTCTATACAACCGTGTAGCTTTACTTTCTGTAATTGTCACCTTCTTGCTTCTCTGTGTAGTAGCTGAGCCCAGCCTACAACTGCACTGATGGTTGTGTGACCTGCTGCCTTCAACCAGTTTGCTGCAAAGCTGTACCATCTCCCTCTGCTGGTCACTTTTTTAAAAATCGTCACCCTATTAAAATAATGGTTTGATTAATGATTTAGGCCAAAAACTCATTTTCATCAAAAAATGACTTAGGCCATTAATTTAATTGGGTGATGAAATGCATGATAAAGATGTAATAAGGGAGAGAAGCATTTACAGTTTATACTGCTAAGACTAGCCCACCTTTCTATGTAGTGTATGCCTAAAGTATATTTCTGCTTCTAAATTAAAATACTGTGATATAATACATTTTTTCAACTGCATACTGACATGTTGGTTCCTCTGGTATGGACACAGCTCACTTTTCCGATTTCAAATAGCTATATAAATTGTGCATCATATTTACAGATCATACTGATTCATACAAAAGTGTGATTCATACAGGAGTCTCTTTGCACAGACACGAGTGTCTGCTTCAGATCAACACAAGGATCTGTTCTGCTGTGGACTTTACTGACCTTTGGGATCTTCAGCAGTTTATCAGTAAGTCAAATGTGTGCTGTGGTTAACAGTAGGAGTGTAATGTCAGAGCAGAAATGGTACCAAGTTTTCTCCACTTTGTGCTACAGAGGGGTATTTGGTTTCTTTGTCAGCAAAGGTTTCTTGAGTTTCTGTGTGATTTATTGATTATAGATCATTTTGTTTGTGCTCTTTCACTCTTCAGAGATGATGAAATAGCAGGTCACCTCAGTGTGGTATCAGTTTTGTTGGCTCCTTCCTGCTTAAGTCTGCAGACTTTGAGCAATGATTTAGACTTTGAAGACACTTAAGCTTGAATAAACGTTCTGTATGTGGATTTTATACCAAAGGCACCAACTTTTTCTCTATTTTTCTGTCTTTTTAACTGCAGAATTGTTTAGGGGTCAGTATTGATCACCTTAAATGTGACTCAATGATCAGGTTAATGATAAAACAGGCCACAGATGACGCATGGAGAGAGGTATATTGATGACAAAAGGAAATAGCCTCTATGAACCAGTCAAGTATTTAAGTTATTTTATTAAATTTGAGCGGATTTAAATTTACTATAATAGATAAACATATTGTACCTTTATAGATGTTGTAAAACCGACTAAAGCCAGCTCCCTCAAAAACCTCTCAACAGAGGAACTTCAAGAAGTCCAAGGAACCAATCACATCCAGAGAGCACAACTGTGAGCCAATCAGAGCGACAGACTTTGATAGAGCTCAGCTTGAGCTGATTAGATGTTCACCTGAAGAATATCTGTTGTTTCAGCATTTTGGAGGGTGCAACAAGAGAGGGCTAAATATTTGAGAGAAAGGCTGAAAAGAAAGCAACAGAGCAGAAGAAAGACAGAAAGTTCAGCCAAAACAGGGAAAAGACAGAGAGGATTTGTAGGGGCAACAAAGAGAGGAACCAGAAGTCAGGAAGAAAGTTAGTAAGGATATTGAAGTGGAGAGGATGAAGTTCAGGGAGAGACGCGTGGCGCTGCTGTCCATCAGAGAAAACATTGAGATGGAGTTGTTCTCTTCAGAGGAGTCCTGCATGGTCATAACAACGCTGGAGAAGGAAGAAGAATGCAGCTATGACCAGGTGTGTCTCAACTTTAAAAATGAAGCATCTAAAACTTTAGTGGACCTCAAACTACAGTTTTATATTTGTGTGACTGTTAACAGTCTGGCCTTCTCAGTCAAACTCCAAGTGTCCAAAGCTCTGCTGTTAAACCCCCCTAAAAAAGACCAAAGGCTGAATATCTGTGAGAACTTCAAGTTGTGCTCAGATGTCTGTGATCTTTCAGGGATCTTTGCCTGAGGAACTGTGGTCAATCAAGAGATAAGATGCTGCTTTTTCTCTCACTGACACATTTTGAAGATCATGGGACTTTTCCACAGTGGAGGAACTAAAGCGACCTTCAAATAGTTTGTGACTAATTTATCTTGTGATTTAAGTTGATCCTGAAAGTCACATTTGCACAAAGCTAAGTGCAGTTTTATTTGCTTTTGCTTTCTCCACTACAACTACAAAATAAATAAATACCATTATGTTTGTCGTGCGGTTGAAATCTGTCTGCAACATGGCTGTTCTTTCTATATGAAAAGCTGCATTTTATTATTATTCCGTCTTTGGTGTTTGAAGTTTAAAAACCATGGCGTTAAATGCCCCGATCAGAGGATTGTTTTGCAGAAGTGTCATTTATTTCTTATCAACATTGCAGAAGATATCAGCGAGTTACTACTTCCTTGATGATCACGGATTACAGCTCACAAAGATCAAAAATCCACTATTTTAAAACACCTAAATATTATGCAAAAGTCCAGTCCTTGAAAGAGCTCTCATCAGCTAATTAACTCTGAACACCTGCAAAGGTTTACTTAGGGGAGATCACAAAGAGTGGACTGAGGCTGAAGTCAGATAACCCGGAGCCACGGCTCACAGACAGGTCCAAGAGAGTCTGGAGGAAGATCAGAGAGGCACACAGTTCAAGGTGCTTGAAGTCCAGCGTGAAGTTTCCACAGTCTGTGATGAATCCAGGGTCAACACGGTCTACCAGAAGACTTCTGAGCACTTTTATTTGCGGAGAAGCTTTACAGAGATACAGATTTCATTTTCCAGCAGTTCCTGGAGCCCTGACCAAGTACTGTCTGAGTATATAAATGAGGGTTGACATTTCTGTTATAAATCCTTTTTTTGGATTGGTGTTCTGTGATATTTTGTTGTTCTGAGATGTTTGATTTTTTTAAGTCATAATAATGATTCATATAAAAAAGTCCTGAAGTTTTACCTCTTTGAAATTACAGGAGAATTTAACTTTTTCGGGACATGCTAATTATATGAGCTGTACTTGTAAATGTTGTAATGTAGTTTTAAAAAAACAGCTCTCAAAGGTTGTCGTGCCATGTTTTACATAATTCATTCTCATGAAACTTGTGGAGTTAACTTCATACCATGGAGTGACTAATGTTCTGTCTGTTTCTTTGCCTCTTCTGTCTGATCTAGAATCAACTTTTACAATAATCATCTTTCTCTTCCCTCAATGTCCTCAGAGACACCTGGAGCATCCTCTGGTCCCTGACAGTGAGGAGGAGGAGAAAGAAGAAGAAGAAGAGGAAGAGATGTTTTTTGAGGCCCCTCTTAGGCAGCAGCATGAGGTCAAACCCCGAACAGAGCCTCGTGTTAAAGATCTGGTCAAGCACCACTCCCCACTGCCAGGGTTTATGGAGGACACAGAGATTGAAATGGAGGTAGGTGAATATGAGTGAAGTGAGTGAGTAGGTTATTGAGTGAATTTGCAGATCAAATAGCAGACTTGTGATCCCTCCTTCATGCAGGTGTTCCTGCCCCTCAGAGTGTCTGACAGGAAGTCCCCAGATGGCTCTGGCATAACCCTGGTACGTCACCTCTGCTTTAATCTTTTTGCTTCCTTCTCGGCAAAGTGACATTTAAGCAGGGCGACAAAACCACCTTATCTGGTTTGACAAAGATTGCTGTTTGCGGGTTTCCCCTACAAAGATAAGGAAGTGTGTCTGATTTTTTTCATCATCTGTTTGTTCTAGCCTGCTGAGTCGGCTATTGTGTTGTGTTTGCATAGTACTGGTAGTTTAAGATTACACCTTAAACCAATCATGTTGTCAAGGATTATCATACTGAGCATGGACACAGAAGCACAGAAACCAAGACAGCAGGTTTAACCCTGTCACCAAGCAGACCAAAACACTCGCAGAAGAATTGTCTTCCTCATTGGTTGCATCACACAAAGTTTGAAAGTTTCTCTTGTATTATTGAATCATATCATCATCGTATTTACAGCCGTTCTCTTTGTCTTTTTGTTCAGTGATAGGGACAGACATTTCTTAATGAATTTGCTGCTCAGTGTCAAGATTTACCATCTATCTCTGGATGGTTTATCACCAAATAGCTTTTCTGGTTGTAGTCAAGAGTCTAGAGCAGAAGAATAACAAGTATGAGTTCAAGTAATGTGTCCAGTTTGCCTTGTATTTTGTGTGACAATGTGTTGTGTGTTGCAGCAAACTCCAAACAAAGCCAGTCGTCTCAAGTGGAAGAGACAGACCCCACAGAGAACAGGACTGGTGGTCAAAGACGTGATCTGTCTACCCAGAGGATACTACCTGGAGCAGCTGGAAAGGTGTTTTTAAGACTTTTACAGAGACAGAAGACAAACAAGTAAAAGTCAAATACTCACTTTATTATGTTCTTATTTAAAAGTATGAATTTATCCATGACACTGTCAGTCATAACTTACCAAGTCTGTAGCATAGACTGTATTTAGAGTGGACGCCGTCTGCCTCCTCTCTGGTTGAAGCTACTCAGAGAACAGCACCCTCTGGTGACGGGCTGCAGCATAGGTCATAAATCTCGCCTCCTCCAGCAATCCCTATGGAGCTGTGGACAAACTTTAGAAATTTATTACACAGAATATAAATTTTTCTCCCCCCTGGTTGTGATGTTGACATGTAGTTACTGTAAGACTAGTTTGTGCTCAAGTCCTCTTTTTTTCTGTACAGCTCCATTTTTAAAAGTTATTAGGGGGTTCATGTTTTCTATGATTGACACTTGATACAGCCTTACGAAGATTGCGTAGCTCACCCAGGGAATACGCTATTTGAGTCGAGCGTCATCACAGCGATTCTCACGCCAAATACGCACAATGCTACTGCGCAAGTGGTGGAGTGCGTATGACGCTACTGCGCAATGTTGGTTTCAGGAAGTGGAGAAAAAAACATGGAATTACTGAGAGCTTTTCAGCTTCAAATCTGTATACTGGCGGAAGGCAGAACCAAGTTGTCCATGGTATATACAGTCTTTGGTCTGTAGTCAATAGTGAGTTTTCTTGGCATAAAGTTGACAAAAAAATGGAGACAATGACAATGTTAAGCTAAGAAACTTATTCTTTCTAGAATAAAGATGAAATAATATGAAGGCAACAACTATAAACAGTTAAACTTGTAAGTATGGAGGCCAGTGAAATGTCAGTTTCATGAATGTAAAATGCTTGTATTTAGACATTGCATCTTCCAACAACAAAACAGAGATGAAGTTCTTGTTGTTTTCTGTTTTATGCAGACCTGTTGCTCCACGAGGTAAAGATCGAGCAGCTCTGGTCGCCACAGGGATGACAGCTCGCATCACTATTGACAGCGGCTGGTCGGCCAATCAGATGGAAAGTCGGCTGGTGATGCTTTTCCAGGGACGGTTTGTTAAAGAGGAAGGACAGAAGTTCTCCTTCACATATTTACAGGTGTGTATTATCATGTCTCAAAAGACAAAAGGGAGGAAGACAGTGTTTCAATGAGAGCTTTTTTGACATGAGCACCAGCATATTTCATAAATCTATCCGTTCACACACATACATTAGTACGTTTCCTTTCACTCCTAACATTACTGGTGTTTTCATTTGTGATGGTGTGTTTTATTTCTAGTCCGTGCAGGGCTCCAAGGTGTTGTTTTTCCCAGACACTCCTGCAGAAGGCTGGACTGGAGAGCAGGTGCTCAGAACTGCTGGACACGGTGCTCTGCACATCCTCAGTCACCAGGACTGTCCTCAGGTAAACCGCTGCCGTTACAGGAGTCTTTAGCAAATAAATCTTAAAACTAAAATTTAAGAGAGAATGCATGTGGTTTTCATGTGGCATGTGGACATTTTTTTTTTGTTTTCAACATGACCCCAAATAAAACCGCATAAAATTTTCATACCAAGAAAATGTAAGATACTGTCTCTCTACAGGTTAAATCTGACAGCAGTGAGACGCCGGCTTTAAACAAGTAAGACAGTATCTCAAATACTTCAAACTGTGACAAGTGTATTGATATCACTGAATAGCTGATCTGGATTTTTATTTTATTTTCACCATTTGCAAGGAAGGATAATTTTTGTTTGGAGGAGAGAGCAGAGGATTACCTGAAGAAAGACAACCAGCTCGAAGATCTGAACCAGAATCAGCCTCATGTTTGCAGCTCCACTGTGGAGGTGAGTTTACTTACAGGAGAAACAGACAAAAGAGCGAGCACCGTAGTCTTAAAGCATGTCTCTGTGGTTCAGATCAAACCAGACCTGGAAACCATCCTCAGGCAGTTCCAGCTGGAAAATGAGAACCAAGATGTAGAAACCCACATTCAGGTGAGGAGGGGAGACCTGCTGAATAGCGCTCTGAAGGTGGTGAGGAAGCCTGCCTTCTGCTTCAGGACAACACCCATCGTCTCCTTCATTGAGGAGGAGACCGACAGTCATGGGGGACTTCTCGGGGAGTTTTTCAGGTCTTTGATGCTTGACTTCATAACATACCTGACACAAACACACGAGATCTATATTTTCAGTACCTGACAGTGAGACATGTACAGAAGTCGTTCTTTTTGATAGTATAAACCACCACATTCACACTCCAGTTCATTCGCTCATATCTCTTTTTCTTACAGATTGGTTTTGCTGGAGCTGCAGCACACTTCTGTTTTCGAGGGTTATCCTGGGCGGTTGTTCTTGACCTATGACCTCTCAGCTCTTGAAGACAGAAAATACTATGAAGCAGGAGTTCTGATTGGCTGGTCTTTGGCTCAGGGCGGGCCTGGACCTTGTTGTCTGCACCCTGCACTCTACCAGGTTGAATGAATCCTTGTCTTTGTTAAATACTTGGAAAGTTACCAACATGTCCTCAGTATGAACTCTCAGCGTGATCACATTGTTTCTTTAGAAAGACATACTGTGTAAGCAGCTGTGTTGAATTGTGTTTACACTTTTGTATTCTTAGTGTGGTTGTGCTGTTTTCTGTCTCAGATGATGTGTGGTCAGAATCCACCTCTAGAGGATTTTAACTGGAAGGAGATCATTGATGCTGAAGCACGAAACAGACTGCAGCAGGTAGCACACAATCACACTATTTGAAATAACCACGTCTATCTGTGGAAACGCAAAAAAGAGCAAAATAATGCAACTACTACACTACTATCAACAAAAATATGACCATTCTGTCTCACGTACAGCTGCAGCGTTGCACAGATGTGAAGCTCCTGTCTCCCAGTCTGTGTGAGTGGCTGTTCAACTGTGGGATCTCTGAAATCCATTCAGCCAAATCTGTTGACCTACCAGACATCTACAGCCGCATTGTGAAACATTACATTTACCACAGGTAGGAGGGGCAGACACTCACAGGACAAAAAAAGGGCAGCAATAGCTTACAAACATTACAGTCACCAAATAGTGTCTTAGAGTACATGTGTGGGAAAAAAAGCAGTAATCTTTTAATCATACCCGCTCTTCTTTAGGGTGTCCAGTATGGTCTCCCAGTTCACTGAAGGGTTAAATAGCTGTGGTGGATTATGGGACATAATTCGGTCCCACTGGGATTTGTTTGCACCTCAGATGACAAGAGTGCAGCAGCCTCTAACCCTGGAAGAGTTCAAACAGCTCATCAGCGTCTGCTACAGTCCTCCTGACAGCCCGCTGAGGGCGGCTGAGGAGGACTCTGCTGCACACTGGGACACAGCCCTGACCCTGATCAGCGGTAAGACACAAAAGATGTTTGGAGGAGACCGGAGAGGTTTAAGATAACAATAAGGGTAAAATGTGGGGGGAAAAAATGAACTAAAACTTGTCTTTCTGCGCCACCAGAGAGTAAAGCTGACTTTTCCCTTGAAGAGCTCCTCGCCTTCATCACTGGAGATGATCACCCGCTTTCTCTTGGGTTACCCAGATCAGTCTCACTGAGTTTTTGCTCCCAGGTATTTTGTTTTCATGTGCAAAATTTATTGATCCAATCAAAAATTCGAGGGATCGGATCATCTGAATCAACTGTGTATATGGGTGTAAAATCAAATAATCTGATCATGACGTGCGTATATATGCACCAATTTTGATTCAGATTAGAAGCATTTGGACATGCGCAGAGTTGTCTAATTTCGCTAAAACGACCACAGAAGAAGAGTTGTATTTCCGCCTGTGCCAACAAACCAACAAACGCAGTAGTGGCTCACTCCATCCAATTCAGGAGGCGCCCTTGTGTACTTATTTTACTGTTTTGTCAAAGATTGCGCTGTGCGTGCAGATGTGACATCATTACGCTGTATGTACGCCTTGTTATGTTATCGGAAGAGCAGGCACGGCTGCTGCTGTTGTGTTTTATGCCAGTGTCGATAATAAAGCCTCCTGTACTGGCCTTGATAAATAAGCCAAAGGCTAAAGAGTGAAGATTGAGTCAGGTAAGAGAGTTACGATCGGAATAAGTGTTTACATGGACTCGTTTCGGAATAACAATAAGCATAAACCACCCCTCTTGATCGGAATTCAATTTCTTTCCGATTGAGCCAAATGGGATCAGAATCTTCTGATCGACATGTTTACATGACACATTTTTATTCTGATTGGGCATTTACTACGAATTATTTGGGCCCATGTAAACATGGCTACTGATAAATGAATAAGTATGAGTATCCTGAGCAGCACAGTATAAATAAACAAATTTATTAGTATCCCTGCAGATTTTACCATCTTTGATACAACTATCATTTTAATCTGAAGTAATCAGAATCTTTATTTTATTATTTTGCTTCATCCTGACTTTATTCTCTAGGATGAAAACGTGTCAGGTGTGAATCTGCCCTATGCCTCCACCTGGACTCTGGAGCTCTTCCTGCCAACTGGAGTAGCTGGAGCTGCGGATATGTTGGAACTGCTGAGTCGAGCTGTACACGAGGCCCTGGGTATTTCCAGGAAAAAGGAGACAGAGAGGACAGCTACTTGGGTCTGAGGACAAGTTGATGAAGATGATATAAAACACATGAAGTTCCTATTCTGCTGGAGTGTAAAGGTATCCTCAAATACAAACATTATGACTGCCAGGGAACTACCAAACAGTGAGGGACTGCAGTTAGTGTGCTGAATTTGTCTGGACAATTAAGGCGGCCTGATGACGAAGACAATAAGAGACTAATTGATTAATAGCCATCCAGATCTGGTTTGTATCCTTTAATTACAGAGTTAAATGTCCCTGATTGTTTTATCTTGCAGAAATGGTTGCATAACCGTTAAACACTGTCCCTTCGTAGATTTAGATGCTTTGAAAATGTTTTAAAAAGTTTTCAGAATATTTTCACTTTGTGTTATTCTATGTCTTTTATTAATCGATTGATTTAAATGTTGATCTATAAATAATTCTTCTTGTTTTAAAAAATAAAACGTTGGACAAAGTTTCTTTTGAGGTTTGTATTGAACACAAAAAACAACTCAAAGAATGCAAATAAAATACATTAGGGTTTAATGAAGTGAAAGTTGACAATGGTGCATACAAAGTGACACAAAAAGCAGGACTCTTCATACATCATGTCTGTTCACAAATGTGTAATAAAAAAAAAAATTATCTTATTACAAGTAAAAAAAAAGTCCTATATTGATAATGCCTTTCTTTTCAGCCACTTATAAATAGGGCTGCTTCCTTTCTTCCTTTCTAATGACCCAGGTTAAAGCTACTGTAAGGAACTTTAGGTTTGTCTTGACACCTCTTATCCTTTGTCCCACGCATGTGAAAGATTTTAGACAAAAACTTCCTCTTGGTGTCATTTAACAATGACACTCATCATGCTTCACGAGTCTTTGCGAGATAAGATGTTTTTGTTTTTTTTCCCAGCCTGCTGTCTATCATCTGATCTGACACATACACCCTCAAGGCATTTTCAAGCATGAAAAACATCTATAGGGAAATTTTCAGTCATGCTGCTGACAGTCTTGCTTGCTTTTGAAGGTCACAAAGAGGCATCGGTATTGGGTTAAAAACTCCTCACAGTGCTTTACAACGCAAAGTTCATTATGACCTTTTTTAATTTTTGATGGCATGATTAATATTCTATTATTTTGCATTTCAGAACAGTTTTTAAGCCCATATTTAACATTTTAAGCAAATCTCACCAGTGTCTTGAGTCGGGAGTCAAATGAATGCCATGAAATTTACGCTTTTCCTTGATGACCTTGACTTTAATTGTTCGAATAAGTGCTGCCGTGCTACATTGGTGTCTCAGACCATAGTGTAGAAATAGGAGACAAGTATTTATTCTGAGAAATGAAGTGTTTGCTGTTGTTTCTTTAAGGGGAGTTCAGATGCACATCAGGAAAAAAGCATTTTATTTATCTATTAAACCTTTATTTAGCCCGACGAGTCCCATTGAGTTCAGAGATCTCTTTTTCATGGTGGACCTGGCCAAGAATGACAGCAATCACATATTGTGGACTCGAGTCTTTCCATTAGAGAATTAAAACCACCACGGGTTGCCAAAGTTTGAAGTTTAAGTTCAGTCTGTAGATTGTTCAAAATGAAAGGTGCAGAAAACCTAAAGGCTGTCTTTCCTGGTTTGGTTCTGACTTTTGGAATAAGAAATTGCACGATGTCAGATTAACAAAGGTTGCGTGTCCTGTACTTAGAGTGGGAGTGGGTAGAGTGGGACTTTGCCCAGAATGGCCTTACGAATAAAAGTGCAGGAGTCGCCTGTAGGACAGAAAGATTCAGGAAACATTCGTACCCACAGCCTTCAAGACTGATTAATTCTTCTGTAGACGACTTGAGACATGAGACTGCAGACAATTACATTTCCCTTCAGGGATCTTCTGCATAGTGTGCAGTTATTCTGGATAATCTCAATTACTTGCTGTTGTTCAGTCATCCCAGACAGCAGCTGTTAATTTCCCTGTGATGAACTGGACACAACATGCCAACCTGAGGATATCCCATTAGATCTGTGCCACAGGTCTGCAGTAATTCATATACTGAGAAACAGTGCTCTGCCAGCTTTGGTGATGGCGGTTTCCTGCCAACATCAGTCTGAACGCTGCACCTGAATGCTTGGCTCATAGTTAATAGTGATATTTGGATAGTTGACTGTTGTTGAGCTGTCTGGGTTTTTTTTAAGGGAAATTTAGAGTTCAAAAGTACAGCTGTGTCATTATTTCTCATCGAGGCAGCAACAGGTGCAGCAGCATAACTGTGTTCCAGGAAGGTACAAAAATGGAGCATGTTTGACAGAGAAGAAAATCAAGGCTATGATTTTAGACCTTAACTGCAAAGCGATCAAGACATCAACGCCGACAGCCCTCGTTATAAACCACATACCATGAGATACCAAATAGACTAAGCCCAACATACACACAATTTTAAATGTGAGCTTCAGTCGAGTGGAATAAAAAAAAACTTTAAATTAAAATCAAACAGGAAGTCTCAGACTCTTTTCACTCTGCTGAAATAGTATGTTCACTGTTTTCTAGTACAGCACCTCGAGCAGTTTTCCATTTCACATATAATCACTTCATGACTACATGAGGCAGATCTCTTTCAACAGAGTTAACATCTTGACTGTGATACCAGAAAGACAGCTGGTATGAAGAACGAATCATGGTTGCCAGTACTTAATAAAATGTTCTCCCCTTTTCTGAATGTCAAAGAGGAGGGGGGAGAAACAACTTTTGGTTCCTGTTAAACAGGCTGGCCAGTTTGGCAGCTGCTCCTCTAGTAAAAGATGTAGATTTAAAGTTATCGAAACTTCTCCGAACAAAGCTTTCACAGCTTTGTTTGTACGATCAGAATAATTTTACACTAAACTAATTCCACCTCCACTGCAAACAGAGCGAAACAACACTCTGTAATATTTACTGTGTCAACCTCTTTGACCTAAAACACATTTTCTTGCCCCTCTAAGAGAACACATGTGGTTGTAGATCACATGTCCTTTGTGTTGGCTCAGAACATGACTATTCTGTCAAACTACACCAACAACACAGTAAAAGTCCAAATGGAGCTTCTGCTGGTCACCTCAGACTTTTTTAATCCTCGTCACTTTCACACTGTGGGGTAATCCCTGCAGGAGCTTAACCCTGAAAAACTAAACAGAGGGAGAACAAATGATAATCAATAATGATGATAATTTTTGTTTGTTTTTGTCCTTTTTTTTAAGATTAAAAGCTTTTGCAGAAATTGTTCATCATGTTCTGTTTCACATACCTCTTCTATAAATCCAATGATGGTTTCATTGCTGACCCCTCCAGAAATACGAAGTTTCATTTGAAGGTGTGCCAGTGTCAGTAAGCCTTGGGAATACAAAAAAAGACAAAAATGAGTGAAGCAGTGTGGAATTTTAGTTTGCTGATGATAACATAGCTCTTAAAAATTAATACCTATGCTCTGTATTTTTATTTTTGTTAAAAGTTGTACAGAGATGTAGCCTCTATAATAATATAATAACAGATTTCAAAGAGGTCTTTTTTATTTATATTCAGATGATCTATTTTAGTTAGGTTGCTAAAAATATGATTGATGAAAAATAAAGGATTTTCTTGATGGGTTTTAACTTCTGAAGTTATAAAGCTTTTTTCTCCACTGTGACTCTTTTCTTATGCCCAGGACAATTTTGAGACAACTTTAAATAGGGTTATACTTAAGGCTGTCACTTTATTAGATCATCACCTTACAATTTTCATGGCCCTACACTTGTTGTTTTTCATCCTTTGATTTTGGTATTTCTTTTTAAGTTGCTTTATTTCTTGCATGGTTGAATTATGCTTTTATTTTGAAGGTTACATATCCTGCTAGAACATAAGTTAGGGAACTGGAAGAAAGTTGCTAAAAGGGCAGTTAGAAAGTGTAAATGTTCAGCTGATCAGTAACTTGAACAGGCATGAGCTCTAATAATGTTTTTTGATTCATGAACATTTTTCAAAAATTGTGGCTCAGAAAATGAGGTTGTGACGGTGCGCTAGCTGTTGGCGCAATACCAATGTTTTACAGTATTTAGATTTTTTTGAAAGGCAGTTGTTGTGTGTTTGGGTATCAGAAAGTATCTAGTCTGAGTTGACAGGTTGTGTTTTTTTTTTTTTTTTTAAAAACAAAGATACCTTTTGTTGTTGTCCCTCCTGTTTTTAAGGTGATCAGGGGTGTGGGATTTTTCTCTGGGGCAGATGTGTTTGGTGGAAAATTTGTTGAAGTTGGTTTGAAAGATGTGGCTGGAGCTGTAGTTGCTGTTTGAGAGGAAGTTTGTGTTGGAGCAGTAGTTGCTGTTTGAGAGGAAGTTTGTGTTGGAGCAGTAGTTGCTGTTTGAGAAGAAGTTGGTGTTGGAGCAGTAGTTGCTGTTTGAGGCGAAGTTTGTGTTGGAGCAGTAGTTGCTGTTTGAGAAGAAGTTGGTGTTGCAGCAGTAGTTGATGTTTGAGGATAAGTTGGTGTTGAAGTGGTAGTTTCTGTTTGAGGAAAAGTTGGTGTTGGAGTGGTAGTTGATGTTTGAGGAGAAGATGGTGAAGGAGCTGTAGTTTCTGTATGAGGAGAAGTTGGAGTTTGAGAACTAGTTGCTGTTTGAGGAGAAGTTTGTGTTGGAGCGGTAATTGCTGTTCGAGAAGAATTTTCTGTTGGAGCAGTAGTTGATGTTTGAGGCGAAGTTTGTGTTGGAGCATTAGTTGCTATTTGAGAAGAAGTTGATGTTGCAGCAGTAGTTGATGTTTGAGGAGAAGTTGGTGATGCAGCAGTAGTTGATGTTTGAGGATAAGTTGGTGTTGATGCATTTGTTTTTGTTTGAGCAGTTGTTATTATTGCAGGAAATGTTGATGTTGAAGCAGAAGTTGGTGTTGCACTAGAAGTTGATGTTGCAGCAGGAACTGATGTTGCACTAGAAGTTGATGTTGGAGTAGAAATTGATTTTGAAGCGGAAGTTGATGTTGGAGTGGTTGTTTTTGATGGTGCAGAAATTATTGTTCCAGCAGAAGTTGATGAAAGGGCATTTGTTTTTGTTAGTGCAGTAGTTGATGTTGCAGTAGAAGTTGATGTTGGAGCAGTTGATCTTGTTTGTGCAGCTGTTGATGTAAAAGCAGCAGTTGATGTTGCATCAGTAGGTGATGTTGTAATAGTTGATGTTGAAGCAGTAGTTGATGTTGCAGCAGTAGTCAATGTTGGAATAGTTGAAGCAGTAGTTGATGTTGCAACAAAAGTTGATTTTAGAGAAGCTGATGTTGAGGCAGATGTTGCAGCAGTAGTCGATGTTGGAATAGTTGATGTTGGAGCAGTTGTTTTTGTTGGAGCATTTGTTATTG